CGTCGTGGTCGCTTAAAGCAATGCTGTTGGGTCTTTGAATGGGCTAATTGGCACTGGTGTCATGTTTTTTGCTGCATTTGGTTGCCGACCCATCGCCGAAGCCGTGTGAGGTGTGTTCGTGTTATCAAGGAGAACATCATGTGTTTTTGCTCGTCGGGTGTGACAAAATCTGACGGAAGCCAGGTCTAGTCCACATTACGGCCAGCCTGACCAAGCATGTCTAAGGGCTTCAGCTGGCATGCCCAGCTCTGTTTGTTCTGGCATCTGTTAAAGGTAGAAAATGAGACATCTGCTGATTTTCACATGTCGAAGGTGCATACTTCCTGCGAACACCTGTTCATGCTTTGCTCAGCGAGCGCCTCAAAAAAAAGCCTCGGCATCGATGCTGCACCTAGGACCCAGCCCTGCTGCATTCATTTCACATCCACGGCAGATCTCGCAGCCAAGGCTTGGCCAACCCACCCCCCAATCCGCAGACGGATTCGGATGATGGAAGGTGGAACTGCTGATGGCATGTGCGCACGGAGGCAAGAGCGCTTTTCGGTGTCCAGGTCCGGGCCGGCCGCTCCAAGGCTGCTGGGAGTACAACGCCGCACCCTCTCAGCCACAGGGCATTTCATGCCCTCACACGGAGTGATAGGAAGTGAATCTTTGTCCTTGAGTGCAGATCGTCCAAAGAGGTGGCATTACGACATCTCTCCCCTCGGCCGCCGACATCGGCTGGTGAGTGCCTGAGCCATCAGTTTCAGTCGGCGACCCTTGGTTAGCTTTATGTCCTTGTCTTGATTTCGATCGCAGTGACGGTGCAGTAGCCCTTTGAGCTCGAGGACGGGTTGAGGGTCAAAGGCTTCGGCTTGGATTGGCTGGGTCCGCGACATCGCTTCAAGCATCTTCAACATCAGACTTCGCAGTCGAGTGCGAGACTCAGTGCTTGGATCGCTTCAGGGACGAGCCTGTTCAATCGATCCCGACAAAGCTGGGAGCCTACACTGTGTCGACACAGTGACATGCATCAACCAGAGCGGCCTATCAGCTGATTTAACTATTTGCTTGCCAACTTCGTTGAGCCTGCGGCTGGCAGCGCGGTTACGTGTAGATTTGCCTTTGGCCGAAATGGTGGGCTCTTCCGGCGTGCACATCCTGGAGGACAGCACTGTTTGTAGGGGCGTAGATTCTGTTGCTCGGCGTGCACCTGTGCTTACGCGGCTCCAGGAACAAGTTGACGAGAGGTATGAACCAACGAGCGAGGACATCCTTCAACTGTGCAGGGCCTTGTGCACAGCCCAAGTCCCCACCTGGAAGCAGGAGCTTCGGGACTACGCAACTTGTCGATTTGATGCTGGAATGCAGAGGTTGGCATAGGGAGTGGCCATCGCTGTGAAGCAGGATCTGCTTGATCTGCTGTACTGTTCGGTTTTCTTTGGCAGGCTTAAGGCTGAAGGACCTAATCTTCCCTGCTCATATGGCAGCGCCATGACCCTGTGATGCTGCGGAAGCGGAAGCTTTAAGGCAGAATGGTTGGGCATGGACCCCAAAGAAGACAGCGACCTCCTGTGGATAGCCCGTCGGGGGCTGAAGACCCCATTGCCAAAGCCCTGGCGTCCGTTCGAGGTCGTGGCCCAAGAACTCTCCTGTGTCAATCGTCAGGAAAGTGTTGTGTGATATGAGGCTGCAAGCGGGGACATCTTCTTTCACAACCCTGACACAGGTTCCCAGAGAATCGTATGTTATGGCAACATGCTAACGGGGTTTGCTTGTCACATGGCCAGGTGAAAGCCAATGGGACCATCCCTGTGACCATGAGCTGCGGCAGCTTTATGCGTCTGAGAAGGAAAAGAGAAAGATTGATCCGGAGATCGCCCCAGGAACGCCTTGCAAAGACCTGTCCGTCAGCTCAATTTACGAGGAGACTTCGCCCCAGAGGTCCGTGGAGGAGACAGAGCAGACACCTTCTCCTCAGGTCAAGGTGCACGCAGTGCACAGTCTTCGACCTGAAAGTCGTGGCTCGGCAGCCGCATCAGCCCCCAGCACGACAACAGCGCCTGCAGGTACCAGCATGCTTGGTGAAGGCAAGCAAGCGCAGCTTATGCCGGAACGTCCATCCAAGCCTCCACCATCAAGGCTAAGGCCTCCGAGGCCAAAACCATTGCAGCTGGCATGCGATGAGTCTACGTCATTCTGCCGCTCACCCGTGGCGAACAGTCCACAAAAGAGGCCGGTGTCAGCTTCCCTGACTAGCCTTCCTGGCAGGGAACCGGCAGACAGAGAAAGGGTTAGTCCCGGTGATGTGCAGAGCCCACCCACTCCTCGACTCAGTGCCGTGCTTACTGCAGAGTTGTTCAATGGCGAGGACATGGACCAGATCAGCCTGTGGTCTCGATTAGAGGAGGGTGAGGAGACCCTGTGCCAACCACTCCCACAAACTCACGTGGGAAACTGCTCTGCCCGAAGTCTGAGCAGTGTCCACGAAGGAGACTCGCTTGAGATCTCCTCTTTGACAGCAGCGCTGGACAACTCAAATGCCGACCATGACAGTTTCAATCACTGCAGAAGCAGTTCGCCACCGCATCAGAAGCAGCAAGCTGTTGCTGCCTCACGTACTCCTCCGTGGCCACATGGATCACCCGGCGATGCCTCGACACACATGAGCGAGCTGCGTCGGTTGCGCCAGGAAATTGAAAGCAACCATGTGGCCTCCGAGACTTGTGAAACTTCATCCCAGTCGCAGGGCCCAAAGCCAGAGGAATTCAAAGAGGATGCGCAACATTCGCATGAGAAGCCAGTCCAGGATTCGACCACTCAAACCGATGAGACAACCACCGCAAGCGCTGGTGAAGGCGAGCACCTCTCGAAGACTGCAGACTCGCCGGGGGAAGAGCTGTCTCCCGCTCCAGGCGACGAGAAATCTCCAGGCTCAGACAAGGGTATCCCGGAGACCTGCGATGTTTCGGTGCAAAAGTCCATGGCATATTTGGCTGCCGAGCTCAACGCATTGGCATGCAAGACTGTGCAACGATGCATGGTTCCAGACCATCCCCTTCCGCTAAGAGACATCACGAACGAGATGCAGGATCTGCCAGACAAGGGGCTGAAGTCGACCGGAACTCCTCGATCTGCTGCAAAAATGGATATAGCCAACATGCGTATGCAACTAGAGGTGCAAGAGCAGCAGCGTGCCACGGCGGAGCAGCAACTGGACGAGTGTTTGTCCACATACCGTATGGAGCAAGCCAAACACACTGCCACAAAAGCAGCTCTGCGAGAAAGCCAACGTGAAGTGCTACGGCTGCAGAGCCAGGTCCAATTCAAGGAGACAGAGACACAGCGCCTCGAGATGGAGTTGCAAAGGTGCCAGTCAGAGCTCGGCTGCGTGTTTGCCCAGGCAAAGCAAGCACAAGTTCAGCTCAAGGCTCAGCAAGCGGAGCTGGCTCAGGTCAAGCTGAGACTGAGGTCCCAGAATTCCAACGAGAGGCTGAGCCGAACACGACCCCTTCAAAGAGCAGGTGGCCCGTCAGCGGCAGAGCAGGAGCCGAAGGCGTCAAGTGGATCGATCTCGCAGCTTACCCACGACCCCGTTGACAATGCCAACGTTGCTGATGTTGCCGAGTCGACTCTTCGACGTTGCCAATCACTTGGCGGATCTTCAGGCTGACTGGAAACAGACCTCAATCAAATCCGTAGAATTGTGACTACCTGACAAGCAAGTGACACTGTATGGTTCAGGTACCCGATTGGCATCGGAGGTTTCAGATGCACTGCGGAAGCGGCGAAGAGAGCTTCGAAGAGAACATGCGGAGTTGGAGCAGGAGATGCGGAAAGGGTTTCCGGTTTACCATTCGTGGGGTTCCACGCTCTTTGGGAAGCATGATCCTGCCTTCCAAGAGCACCAGGAGCGCCGCCAATGGCGCCTCGATGCACGCAATTTGCGTCGAAGCCAAGCGGCCGACGCAGAAGCGACCAGCCTCAATGACTGCACTTGGCCCCTGCCAAGTGCTTATACCACAGTGTAAGAGTTTCGCATAGCTTTGCATGAGGGATGTCCGGGTGCACTGTGCTTCCGTTGGATATATGCCGCCACCATTCGAAAGCTTGTTGCCGTGAAGCTGCGCAAGAGGTGCTCTGTTTTGGAATCTGAGGCTGAAGACCTAGTAAGGACCGGATCTCGGCTTTGAAATATGCTTCAGATTGTTCGCAAAAGTTCTAGGTTTGTCGGTCGTGTGCTTGCCAGTGGGTGCCGGGATGCGATGCTTGATCATTTGGGTGAGAGGACTGGTTCGTCCAGCTAAGTGCTTGCGACATTCGAAACGTTTCGCTGCCCAAACATGGTAAATGGGCAGCAGACATGAGAATAAATGGTAGCATGGAAGCGGCAAGCTGACTATCCACGAAATCTTGGTGCTTCTCAAAGGCCCTGCATCCATCCGTCGTACAATACGGCGTGGGTGTGCGAAAGCAATTGAGACATGCCTCCCACCTAGCAGCACCTAGCATTCTTGAAAAGATTGAACAGACATCCAGAGATTCCGAAAGCTCATCCGCGTTCACGAATGTCAGGACTGCCTCAGATGGTACGAACTGAGCTATAAAGCTACCCCGTATGCGCATCTTTACCACATTTTACCACTAATGCTTGTGAGGCAGCTGCTGGCCGAATATTCTCCAGGAAGTGTTGTTGCCTTCTGGGCACACCTAGACTCAGGCTTCTGGCATCAGGCTTAGGCCCAGAAAGGTTGAGGCCGCTTTCAAGGATTTACTACAAGATCATGCAAGATCATGCCAAATTGTGAAGTGTGAGACCTCCATCAATTCAACAGACTGCAACATGAAAACACCCTTCGCAGTCAGAGAGAAAGGCGCGGGAGGACGAGAACGGCCAATGTAGGTGAAAGAGTTCAGCCGACGGGCCAAAGCCAGTGTTTCCAACGAAGATCACATTATTGTTGCTCGTCGCACCTCGTCACTGTCGTAGCACTGCAATGACGTGTGGTGTGTGGTGCTGTGGAGAGGGCGCGCGCAGCCTTGGACACCCGTGCCTCGGCACTCAACGAATCAATTTGCCTCTTGGCCGAAGCGACTGCAGAGTCGTGCAGGCATGAAGCCTCGATTATAATGTGTTGATATTGTTCCGGCGGCTGCAATTTATGCAGTGTGCAGCCGCTGGATGCGGATACCTTGTTCGATCTGGAATCTACCAGCTTGACATACGTGCATAGACTTAGCGTGCCTACATGTGCTTAACGAAGGATGCGTTTTGGCTGCCTATGCATGGCAGCAGTAGATATGTTGTCATATGCGTTGTGGTTGAGATGACTGCCGAGGCGAGTACCGCGCTCTGCAGCGGGCGTTGACCAGCGGCAGCCTTCATCAGGATCGTCCCTGAAGGAAGCTGTGGCACACTCGCGCATCTATTGCATTGTCTCAGATCATCCTTGCAAAGCTGGGTCCAGTCACATAGAACGTATCCTCGATGAGAGATTCCACGCGGCGAGCGGGAAGGCATGGGGGGTGCGGCTAGTTCGTGATGCTGTTTTTGCTGGGATAAGCTCGGGCCACTCGCAAAGAATGGCACTGCCTGTACAGACTCAGCGGCGCCATCCGAAGCTTTCCCATGCGTCATTCGTATGTCTGCAACCAATTCAGCGTCAGCATATCGTTAGTAATTCAATCGTCGCTGTGCGTCAGCGATTCGGACACATGCAAGAGAGGGTCGGAACCACGGTCAGAAAGGAAGGGCTGTGCCTCTTTGGCCACTCGTCAGCCTGGTAACCTGGCACAAGCTTCATCGTACGACTTCCAAGGCTCGGCGAGGTTCCCGAGAGCATGGCCATGGTGCAGGGCATGAGAAGGCCCCTTGGTCCCTGGATCTCTCTCGACAACACTGCAATATACTGCACCTGCTGATGCTGCAGGCTTCACGGTCAGGCAATTCCGTCACATCCCCAGGTTGTCGAGCTGCACCATGGCATGTGCACAGTGAAATTACTGCAGACCAGCATGAGTTACACCAGGCCCGTGGGCACATGTCTCCATCCTTCTTTTTCTTTCTGCAGTGGGGAGCTGAGGAATCAAGAGGACGCAGTGACTAGACTTGTCTCCACCTGCCCCATTGAGCCGGGCAGATATACCTTGGAGCGCGGGCCCCGTCGACCTCTGGATTTTTCAGGTAAAGCAGTTGCCAGTCTTGCGGGAAAGCCTGGCAAAGAAAAACAATTCTGTGCTTCAGCGCATCTGACTGATAACCGATGTGATCCTACATATCAAAGTCCAGCCCTGCAGGTCTGGAAAAAGCACGGGCTACTCCTACAAGAAGCTTCGGCCTCAAGACATACTGGATTGGAATATCACAGTTGCGGACTGACTTTTGCAAACCACACCCCACTAGGTTGGAAATGAAGCTGCACGTTGATGGCAAGTGTGTCTACAAAGAAGAATCCAAAAGCCGGCGCCTTTACAAGCGTGTGTGGACCTCCTGCAGTTTTGGAAGCATGTTCCCGGTCCTGAAGACGGTCAAACAGCAATGATTTGATTACAGAGCAGGTCGGGCATTGGGCAAGGAGAACGTACGCCGTACACTTCTGCCATGCCGCATCGCAAGGGATGGTTTTGTTCTTCGGCTTGAACGGGCCGGAGTCTTTCTTGACTTGCAGAAACAACCACGGCGACGACGACAACAACAACAACAATGACAACAACAGCGACCACGACCACAACAACGACATCAACAGGAACAACAACACCAGCAGCAGCGGCAGCGGCAGCAGCACCGCCAGCACCAGCA